AGACCCTCCGCAATCCCTACCCTAAACCACAAACCCCACTTAAACTGCCATAACCTACTAAGCTGCAGGCGCTTATCATAAGCTACCATAACATAACCTACGAAACTGTAGGATTCTACACCCTAAACCCGAAACCCTAAACCATACATGGGTAGTTCTCTAAAAAGGGTCCCTCTTTAGGTCCCCAAAATAGTACGGCACCCTTATAAAAAAGGACCCTAAAAGGGACCCTAATTTTGAAAACTACCCATTTTCTAGAGCAGCCAACCTCCTCCGACCCGCCGGAGGCCGGCAAGGCTCCGAAGAGAGAAGGCCATGGGTCCATAGGCCCAAGTGGGCCACCGTCATGCAAGGAGGGTTTAGGGTTTAGGGCTTAGGGTTCGGATTTAGGGTTTAGGGTTTAGGGCTTAGGGTTTAGGATTTAGAGTCTAGGAATTAGGACCTCAGGCTTAGGGGTACAATTCAATATCATGCACCCTGATTCCGTAATAGCTGTGGCGGGCGTGCTCATTTCTAGCCCTATTCATGAAGCTCTCAAAGTGTTCCAAGTGGCGGAGTTCGGGCTGGAGCCGGGGCTTAGTCTTCAGGTCGCTTGAGTCGACCCTCGGGGACGACGACCCACATGTTCAACAAAGGGGCCTTAATAACTAGAACAAGGTTTGGGGGGTATATTATTATACTATATTTACAAGAAGGAACCCTAAGAATGGTATAGGTAATTATTAAGGCCCCTACATCAGGGTCCAGAATACCCGGTCAACTCCAGGTTAGTTCTAGTATGCTCGGGTGGAACTGCCCAGAATTACGTCGTTACAATGGGTTAAGAGTTTCCAGTGCTCCACCGACATGCCCGGACCCTGTGTTGAACCACGCCGACATCTTCATGCTCAGTCCTAACCTTGTACATTCAATACACAAATCCCCAAAACCCCAAACATCACCGAAACCCTCAACCGTCAACCCCGCACCCTTTGCCAGGCACCGTGCACTCCTCCGATGCTCTTGCGGACACTTAGCGCCCGATCGATGAAGCCTCGAGGCTTTTGGATTCGAGGTCACCAGAGGCTAAAGTCTGGTACATTCTACGGTTGAGGAAGTCGGGTGAGTTTTTGTTTAACGCTTTTTTGCCTCCCGCCTGGCTAGGACGAACCTACGATGCAGGGTCAATACACACCGTCACTACAACATGAAGAGTAAGGACACTCACCACGTCAAAAAGCGGCATGCCGCCGGTGCGCTTGGCCGACGACACGCGCATCCCTGCTGTTTCTGTTACCCAGAATACTTCTCGACAGCCGCCTTGACGCGACTATCGAGAAGGATGGCGTACGACCAAGTCGTGTCGCCCCCTTGCCAACATGCAATCCCACAACTTCTCCGGTCGGCAGCTTGAGGTGGCTGGCGGACGTCCCAAGCATTGTTGCATCTCCTTTGTATTTTGCGATGGGTCCCTTGTCTGTCTCTTCATACTTAATTTCAAGGTCATGAACATGCTTGCCCTGAGAAAACTTCAAAGTTTTGGGTGGGTTTGCACGTTTGTGCACATCATACACGACCTTTGTCTTGACACCGTGTTTCGGCACCTTGAAGACGTGAAGCACCTCAGTCCCAAAGTCGATTGCTTGTTGCTCCTTTATGGACTTGTCACGGAACTTCGTTGTCCCCTTCGGTGTCGTGTGCCCGAGCGAAATCAGTGCCTTCGAACTTCCAGCTGCTACAGGATAGTTCGCAGTCTTTTCAGATTTCAATGCTGATTCATGCCCAGACACTTGACTAGCTGAATGCTCTGGTAGAACAGTGCTCACGCTGCTGGCATGGTCCCCGGAGTCTGGCTGGACCACGGATTCCCTCTCAGCTTTGGCTTTCACCTGAGCCTTGGGACCCGCGTTCGTGACCTTGTCCGGTTCATTCTTCTTAGGTGGTGCGAAATTTTTATCAGAACGCAAGTCGGAATTGACGTTCACGTTTGGCAATGTGAACTGGAATTGCAAGCTTGGCAGTGGTTCGGCGAGAATTTTCATCTCTTCTTGACTCAAAGAGGTGAAGATGAGTGTTGCCATTACCAACATAGCACCAAGCGGAGCCGTTGTGCCAAAGATGCCAACCAGGTGCTGTGCCAACGCAGTCCATGCCACAAGTAGCATGAAATACGCTGGACACACACCAACATCGAAGAAAGAAACAATGTTGATCCAAGGTGCTGCGACGATGCCCCGAAAGACAATGTAGCAGTACTTGGTCCATGCATGCTGCTGGCGAGCAAGGGTTACAATGATTTGACTACTACTGTAAAACAGCATCAGAGCGAACAGACTAAGCAAAACTAGTGCCCAAACAAACGCAGTTTCAATGGTAATGACCGGAAACAAAACGACCAAAAGATAAGCGACTCCATAAACGACGATTCGAATCAAAATGCAAAGTGGGCCAAGAACAAAATTTCTGCACATGAGCAAGACATAGTTCGCAACCCAACCGCCAAAGAAGACATCAGTGCTCGACATGTGGCTAATGAACACAAGCCAGACAAACGCCAAGTTGCAGAACAGGTAATGCCTACGAGCCCGCGAAGCTAGTTCGTTCACCTTGTTCGCGTCCTTCGTGTTCATGTGAGTTGAAGTCATCAATGGTCCAACACAAGTGAAGGCCCATGTGGCAGCGGCAATCGAGATGTAGACTGTGTGATACTCATTGCACAGAGGACTCTGAGCAAGCACATACGCAAAAGCGAATGCTGCTGTTACGTTCATGGCACGAAGTAGCATGCTGATGCCCCACTCATTCAAGAGCAGAGACGCCATCAAAAGGAGCGCAATCACAGAGAAGAACCTCCGGGTCGGTCCGTCGGTCAGAAAATAGGCGAAGGCACCTCCAAAAAGCAAAAGGACAGCTTGTGCCACCTGCTTCTCTTGCCGATCACCATGCAGAAAGAACCCATGCTACTAGCACGAAACCAGTGCACAGGAAATAGTTTGGCACAGCTGGCACCGGAATGTCAGCATTGCATCAGAAAATGGGTGGCTGCTCAAAGGCAGCCACCCTGAGCAACGGCACGCGCGTCGCACGCCAGAAAGCAAAGGTGGAGGCCACCCATCACGAGTGCGTGTACCCCCGAGGTATAACAGCGACTGTAGCCATTAAAGGGTAAAGGGGTTTAGGTCTTAGGATTTAAGGCTTAGGGTTTCGGGTTTAGAAGTTTCAATCTGGCCGTTAATCCTGGCTTAGGGTTGCCCCCTGTGGTTTCTGAGAACGTGGCTCACACCATGGTTATACGATGCTGCTTGCCCCTATGGGTAACCGGCATGCATGTATTTACATATCCATAATATTTCTGTGTGACGAGGGTTCTGGAACTAGTCTTTCCACATACCTAGACCGGTACCTTGACCCTAGGCCCACAAATTCCGAAGCCCCAAACCATAAACTCAACATGTACTACACTACCCTTCGCAATAGACTTTCTGCCCACAAAACCGACAATCACTGCTAAACCCCTATGTCCTGAGACTTCTCCCCGCTCGAGATAACACCCAAAACCACCTTCCCAGCAATCACGAACAAGGCTCCCAAACCCGCAACCTTTGAACATTAAACCCGAAGCCACCAACGCCGAACACTAAACCCTGAACCCCAAACTCTGAACCCTACCTCATAGTCATAGCCCATTTTAAAGGCCCTTCCTAGAATCCCCTGAACCCTAAACCCTAAACCCTCAACCCCTGCAAGGAACACTCAAGGGCCCTTCCTAGAATCCCGCAACACCCCCCCCCCCCCGGCCGATGAGGAAGGTCGGCACTTCGAGCAGCCTCAGCGTGTGACCTGGCGCCGAGGCTACGCGGAGGGTTGAGGTTTGAGGCGAATTAAGGTTCAGGGTTTAGGGTTTAGGGCTTAGGGCTTAGGGTTTAAGGTTGAGGGAGCTCCAGCAAAGATTTGACAGGTGGTGCCCTGGTGGAGCACTTCGGCTTCCAGAGCTCCACAGCGATCTTCGCGGCACTCCTCACGCTGTTGCTGCCACTGACCCTGTTGGTCCCTTCGCGGATGTTCGTTGAGTCATTGGTTTGCTAAGTTTGAGAAGTTTGCGTTTGCTAGCTTTGCTGTGTGAAGGACGATGGTTTGTGGGTCAGGTTTGCAGGCCTCCTTATCTCAGCTTCCCGACCTGGCCGTGTCAGGCTTACCGCGAGGACCGTTCCTACCAGCACGAGCCACTGGTTGAGGATGATCAAGCCTGATGGTTTTTGAGCCGTGGACGGTTCGGTCGTGACCTAGGGTCATGCTGGTTATGGTGGTGACAGCAGAGCTGTGCACCACCAGCTCAAATATGCGCAGCAGATCCCAGCCGGTGACCGGTGACGGTGGATTCGTTTTTGCTGCCTTCTTGAGGGTTTCACTCCTTAGCTAGCAAAAGTCAGCCTGTTTTTCTTACCCCTCTGATGAGGAGTTGTGCTTGTTCAGGCCGTTTTTAAGATGCGTCGAGCTGGCTGTTGCATGACATTCTGGACTGCATGATTGTTTTTCAACATACTTCGCCATGGGACGCATGCCACCATTAGGGTCATTAGGGATTGACGTGCTTGCCAATCACGGTGCCAAGTGCGTGCATGATGCTAGACGCGCCAATACCGCTTGTCATTCTTCCCCGGTGCCCGCTAGAAGTTGGAATGCACCGGTTGCAGCAGGGGTTGTGGTCTTGGCCTCATCCCGCCGACAAGGGGGAAATAGTACAAAAGCGAGCATTCATGAACAGTTTTTTCTGTGGTGGAAAACCAGGGTTTACGTGCTGCCAGCGTCGCAACCGCGCTGTGACACATGTCATGGTGACCATGGTGTGCTCTTGAGTTTGTGGCTCGAGGCTCCAAAGACACCGCGCAGTCGGTCAGAGCTATCTGCTTGTTTTGCCGTGGCTTGCGTGTGCTTGGGGGAATTTGTGCTGCGCAAGGGCGTCCACACCAGGTGAGTAAGGACTGCCTGGTGGTTAGGAGCTGACGTCTTGCCGCCGAACCATGTTTTCCCGCTGGAGTTTCTTGGCGCTCCTGGAATTAACTTTCTAAATGTTGGCTGTTCTCAATCCTTAGAAACAGCTGAAATCACAATTTTTGCAAGGGCCCCAAGAACAGTTGAGGCTTTTTCTTCCAGTTTCTTGGCGATGATCGCCAAGCGAGCCGAGCAGAGCAAGTGGTGAAGCATGGCTGCTCAATGGAGCATGACATAGACAACACGTGCAAAGTGGAGTCTAACGACGAGAAACTGGGCCTGGGCAAACGTCTGGAGTGGAAGATGGATGGTAAGGCGGGAATTATCCAAAATCATTATAGTACGGGTCCTTACATTATGGCTCCTATTAAAACCCTAAACCCTAAACCCCAAACCCTAAGCCCTAAGCCCTAAACCCTGAACCCTAAACCCTGAACCCTAAACCCTAAACCCTAAACCCTAAACCCTAAACCGTCCCAGGTGATGTTCTCGATGCAGGACTTGGGAGTCGAGTCCAAAGCCAGGCCCAGGCTTGGCCTGCTCCCCCCGCAGCTGTACATGCTGCCGGAGCTTCAGGAGCTTACCAGAAACTACAGCCTGGTACCAGTGTGCATCCAGGAGGGCGACTGGAGTGAAGATTCCATCAAGTCCTGGGCCGAAAAGCTGAGGAAAGAGGGGGTGACTGCCGTGGTTGGCTTCGCCCAGAAGGATGCCTGGCACCATTGCCTCCTCAACCGCGCCTTGGGATCCGATTCCATTTCCCCGCTTGCCTACCTCATGTCCATGAACAAGTTCATGCAGCGCGCTTCTGTGGACTTGACTCCCGGATTCTGGTTCATGTCGGTGAACCCAGATGTCGAGAAGGACAACTCAACCCTCATCTCCAAGGTGCCCACCGAGCAATGGCCGTGCATGCTCAAGAATACATCTCTCTCGTTGGGAGCTGGTGTCTTCAAGTGTGAGGAATCGGGGAGAGGGGGGCATGCGGGAAGAGTTCTGTGAACCCTGCGCTACTCACTCAAGTTTGACCCCTTTGTTGGGAGGATGAGCAACGCATGGCCGAGATCCTGGACGCCTACCGTGAGAATGAGGCTGCGATTGAGCTGTTGGCAGATCTCCTTCACCGTAGATAACGTTGTGGCTTCATCACGGCCCCAATTGGTGATTTGGAAAGGTAGCAGGTAGCCAGAGTCTCCGAGGGCTCCATCACAGATGTGAAACGCTGATTCTGCGCTGTTGCTTGATGCCCCCCTTCCCCACAATATAAACCCTAAACCCTAAACCCTAAACCCGACAAGTTGTCGTCCTGCGGGTGTGTGAGGCTCTCAGAACTTCCATTGCCAACACTACGCTCGCCATCACATCGCGGCTCAGCGAGGCGGACCGTTGGCTACAATGGGCTGGCAACGTGATTTCAACAATTGCCGTAGTGACTTGCAAAATCATTGTGACATCTTGTTGCCAAAGTAAGGAAAGGGCTCTGAGTGCCGAGATGTGTGGCGGGCCACCCCCGCCCTTCCTGGCAGAGCACTTGATCGACATGAATGCGGGCTGGGTGGAGTACTGCTATGAGGGGTTGGTGGATTCTAGTGGCACGTTGGTCCACTATGGCCTCACAGAGGAAGTCTACTTTGAAGACCACACAGGGCTTGCGTACATTACTCCTCCGATGAACTTGCACCCGAAGCAGATCCCAAAGACAAAACAATTCCTCGAAAAGTTCATGGGCAAACTAATCGAGGCTGGCTACAGACGCCAGTTCTGCAACGTGGAATTTTGGGTCTCGGGCGGCAAGGAAGAAGATAGAGAGCCGAAGATGGTGCTCTGTGAGATCAACCCTCGCTGTGCGCACACCTTCCACTATGGATACAAGTTTTCCGTGGGCAGCAATCTTTACAGAGACAACTTCGAGCTGGTGCTCCACGACACTTTGCCTTCAGCGACACCGTTGCTTAGGGGTACTTAGAAATAATTTTTAATCCACTATAAACCCTAAGAAGCAGCTAAAATTATAATTTTTGCAAGGGGTCTAAGTTCAGTATAGGTTGTCCGAGTGGGAAAGTGGCGGCTTCCGAGTGTGCTGCGAGATGCTGATCAATGTGAAGAACCAAGTGGACCCAACGACAGGCCATCCAGGGACGAAAGGAGGGACCCTTAAAGGGACCCTTGGGGTTACATAGGGGCTTTATGAGACGATATAACGGGTATATAAGGGTTATATAGGGTATTAGGATTAGGGGTGCCTTGTAGGGGTCCCTCCTGTTGTCCCTGAACAGGCCACGTTATCGTCGACATCTCCGGCAAGAAAGCAAACGAGTGTGTTGATTATGGATTGCTGGATTCACTGCAAAGCCAAGGACGAGCACAGCTTGTCCGCCGCATCAAAGCTCCAAGCTACGTGCTAACGAAGGATGATGCCAACGCCGGACCCGGAACCACACTGGCGCAGGTGTCCTGGTCTTGGAACATGTGTTTCGTGCCTTAGATGTCTAGCATGAAGCAATTTTTGGCCCAAGCTGCTGGAGTGCAGGTGTGGTTTTCCGGTCCAACGCACGAAGCTGTGGCCAAAATGGAAGTGAAATTGCGGCAGCAGCTGTACAAAATTAGTCAGCCAGGTGCGGTCTATCCAAAGTTTTGGTCAGAGCTGGCGGCCATCTCCTGAAGGGACTGGCTTCGCATGGTTATTTTCCTTGACCAATGAATCGCACCGAATTGGCGTTGAACAGCATGTCTAGTACCTCGTGGTGTCACGATCACCACGCCTTGCTTGTGTGGACGAGTTTAGCGGAGACTACTTAAGTATCTCCATTTATGAAGGCCTCCTTCTTATCTGGGGTTGAGGCACTGCAGCGGCCCGTTGGAATCGAAAACCTGACCACGCACGATAGTATAGTATAGTATAAAATAGAAGAGTACAGTACAGTTGCAGTATACTATAGTATAATTAGTCTAGTATAGTGCTTTAACACTCTTCAGGTGCTGCCGCGCGATCATGCACATGTCAGAGATCATTTGGCTCGATTTCTGCCGCAAGCGGCAAGTCCTCTTCGACACATCGCGGACCGCAGTGGTAACACAAATTTTACACCTCAGCACTCCGGTCAGAAGCAGTGGTCGCACGGGCCTGGCTTTCGCACAATCCCAGTACTAGGAGGATCTTGGGACTTAGTAAGTAGGGTTATAAGCACCGTAATTGGGGTTATAAGTCTAGCTACCTTGTTTATAACCTCAGTTCCTTAGTCCCATGATCCGTTACGTACATAAGATAGTATGTGGAGCTTGACAGCACAAGCTCGTAGGTTACCTGAGGTTCCTGCGAGACTCTGGCGCAGGCACTCCCAGCTCTAGGACAGCTTCCCCTACATGGGGCTTTCCGAAACTTAGGGGTACCGTGTTTTGGGGTCCTTATAATAAGGATCCTACTATTTAGGGTACTATATTAGGGTCCCCTGTTTTTGGAAACCCCCACATACCCAAGATCTAATCCGAGCTACTTTTCTTTGGCCCTTGGTAGAAGCCGTAGATGAGGTATGCCATCCAGACATTTCCCTGGTGAAGCCGTCCGTAACTTGCATTTGGGTTTAGGGTTTAGGCAGGGTTTAGGGTTTAAGTTTTTGTTGAGAAATGTGGTGCACAAATTTCCATTTGGGGGTTTCCGAAAATAGGGGACCCTAATATGGTACCCTAATTAATAGGATCCTTATTATAAGGAACCCCATCATAAGGTACCCCTAATTTTCGGAAACCCTCATTTCGTTGGAGTGATCATCCCGGCCTGACTTGAAGAGTCGGCCTCACCTTGGAATGACGAGCGTGTCCCATGGGTTGGGCCAGTGCCGAGCTGAGAACCGGTCCTCTGGACCGGGCATATGGGGGTTTCCGAGAATAGGGGACCCTAATATAGCACCATATAGCACCCTAAATAATAGGATCCTTAATATAAGGACCCCAAATAAGGTACCCCTAGTTTTCGGAAACTCCCATGTCATTGTGAAGTCAGTGCCAGGGCTCATTTGCAGCCAGGGTTGTCTTCTTCTTCTTTGCGACACGAACTGAGGCATGATGGCATTTTTCGGGAAATCTGCGTACCTTCATCCAGGCCCTTACGGCAACAATTGGCAGGAGTCGTGATGCTCACACATCCTGTCCTGCTCAGGCGCGCAGATGTAAAGCTCAAGGTGCGTGGTGCTTTAATCGCATGCACCTCGTTTTGTTTTCAAACGTTTTTAGCACTGTACCCACTGTGGCAGCACAGACGGTGACCGTGATCAGTGCCGAAGGTTCCCCGTACGATTTGTTTATGCACTAAGGCATATCTGGTCTTGGCGTGGAGAACGTGCTCTAGCGGCACTTGCTGCTGCCAGATGCGTTGACAGCACCTTGCAAAACGTTCAGGTTGTTTTGGATTTGCCCATGGATACGCCTGGAAAAAACCATCGTGGATCAGTCGGTACCTCGGAATGCTTTCAAGAACTGGAGCGCGTCTCGCGATCAAACCTGTTGCCCGGCTACTTGTTTCGGGTTTAGGCTTTAGGCTTTAGGGTTTAGGGTTTAGGATTTTAGGGTTTTAGGGTTTTAGGGTGAAGGCTTTAGGGTTTAGGGTTGGGACAGGCATTAAACAAATACATAAGCATCGAAAAATAATCAGGCATCAAACATATAAACAGGCATAAAAAACTAGACAGGTATCCAAAAGGAGAAAGACAGAAAGAAAGAAAGGCAAAAAGAAAGAACGACAGAAAGAAAGAAAGACATACATAAAGAAATAAATAACGAGAGAAATAAAGAAAGAACGAAATAAAGAAAGAACGAACGAACGAAAGAAATAACGACCTACATAAAGAAAGAAAGAGGGAAATAAAGAAAGAAAGAAGTAAAGAAGGACAGCAATTAATAAATAATGAATAAAAAATAAATACAGAAAGGACGACATAAATAGCGAAATATAGAAATAAAGAAAGAAGTAAACAAAGAAATAACGAAATAAACACATAAAGGCATAAGTATTTAAATAAAGAAAGAAAGCAAGAAATAAAGAACGAAAGACAGAAAGACAAAACTAAAGAAGCAACGACAGAGAGAAATAAAGAACGAAATAATACGGAGAGAAAGAAATAAGGACAGAAATACGGGAAGGAAGTAAGGAAGGAATAGTCAAAGGAAGGGGCGTGTTTAAGATAGATGATGAACCGGAAGCACCAAATGAGAAGGCTTCGTGTGGATGTATGAGGAACCGGAATCGCCAAATGAGGGGGCGTGATTCAGATTTATGATCAACCGGAATCGCCAAACGAGGGGGCGTGTTAATTAAGATATATGATGAATCCGGAATCGCCAAATGCGGTGCATGATTGAGGTATATGATGAACCGGAATCGCTAAATGAGGGGGCGTGTTTAAGATATAGATGAACGGGAATCGCCAATGAGCGTGTGTTTTTGAGATGTATGATGAAACGGAATCGCCAAATGAAGGGGGCATGTTTGAAATATGTGATGAAACCGGAATCGCCACATGAAAGGGCGTGTAAGATATAGGATGAGTCCGAAGAGGTTTGAATTTTAAAGCCTGAACCCCAAGGTTGAATCCGCTGGCCGGAATCGTCAAATGAGGGGGCGTGTCTAAGACATATAGTCAATCGGAATCGCCAAACGAGTGGGCGTGTCTAAGATATACTACTACTACTACTACTACTACTACTACTACTACTGCTACTACTGCTACTACTGCTACTACCGCTAGTACTGCTAGTACTGCTACTACTGCTACTACTGCTACTACTACTACTACTACTACTACTACTGCTACTACTAATCTACTACTACTACTACTACGACTACTACTACTACTACTACTACTACTA